GCCGACATCAGTTTAGGTCAATTTAGTTCTTTCACTGCTTTCAGTTGAAAAACTGCAAATCACTGCTGTCAGAACAAAATCTCGCAACTTCAATACGGTAACTTTACAGGAGAAAGAAAAAACCTACTTTACTTTTAATGTAAGTCAATGGAACCAGACGTTTTTCCAAGTCATTTTTGGGTCGTTTCTTTTGGTCCATTCATCATGAAATTTACACACAATGTAAAGGCCAACAGGCTTTTCCAAATTATGTCAAAAACAGAAAAATGTCAAGAATGGAAACACAAGGTTTTGTTCTGACAGGAGTGGAATGCTGGTCTTACAGGTGAGGTTAACTGAGACTGTGAGACTATAATATTTTCTAGAAAAGTCTGGTAAAATGAGGCAAACAATTAATTCAATACAATTCCGTGTTGTTTGAACCAGACAAGCTTTCCAACCTTTTTCTGAGCATTCCCAAACAGGGGAAAAATGGGGGTGAGGGGAAGCCCCCCTTAAAACAATGGGCCTCATTCACAGATATGTTTCAATGTTTTTTCCTTAAATTTGCTCTTATAAAGGGTCCTAAGAAAAAGTCTACGTCAGATTTATGACGTGTTCTTAAACCACAGAACTGTTCTCACCTCTGTGCTCTTGAGTGTGTAGATTCTGTTCTTACCTAAGAACAAATCCCAAATAAGAAATAAGAAAACACTGGTGAATGGCAGAGTCTTCATGAAAGCAAGAAAAAAAAAAAAGAAATTTCTTCTAAAGAACGGTTGGTGAATGAGGCCCAATGTCTCCTTCTTATAAAGCTAAACTAGATCTCTGTATGAGTTTAGCAAGTAGAGGATGATGATGATGTTTAAACCTAAGCACAGTTAGGAAAAGCAGTTCAGTTTCATTTTTATAGCACAAAAAAGAAAATGTTAAAAAGGGATAAAAAGCAGCCTGAGAGAATCTTGCACCAACTTGTCACCATCATCATTATTATTAATAACAATAACAGTTTACACAATGCAATATTAGGGGTGGGCGATATGGTAAAAATACTATATCATGATACTTTCCACAGTAGATACTATGCATCAAGAAATACAGTTATTCTGAGATTTAATGTTGGAACAGACAAAATAGAGTCTGCAGTAGCACATATAAATATACTATAATAATAATAATAATAATAATAATAATAATAATAATAATATCTAGTGTTAGCATACTGGCATCCACGGTAGTTTCTGGAGCAGCGACAGCAACGAGACTACACAATGAACAGTTGTGATCTGACCACAGACTTCACTGCCCGCTATGTTTATCTCTGTACGAGATGCTGTGCTAACATTATCCAGAGTGGCTTTGACTTCTTGAGATGTTGGGATGCAGCACACTTAACTTACTATAGGCTAGCATACACTATAGCTGTGATATTAATGTGATATTAATGTGATTTGTGAGAGTAATTAATAGATAATTAACTTACAACTACAATGATATTTATTCAGTGTGTTACAACCTGCATTAAACCCAGTTAAACAGGCCTAATTATGCTCTGTCTGTAATGATTCATGTATTGGTCAGCGCTCTAATTTATCACATTAACTATAAAATATCGTCATACTGCCCCCTAAAGCACTAGCATTCAACAGCACGTCAGCATTTCATCGGTAAGTCGTCCCCTTGGAGTTTTGAGGTTCTGAGATTTTTGTCAAAATTGAGTTCACATATTCTTATTCTGTGACATCTTGACATTATATGAGGCGTCTTTGGACTTTTTTATCTAGAAAACAAAAAGGTTCTGTCTCCAAAGTAAAACACTGACTTAGGTCTGGTTCTATCTGTGAGCCAGTCAGCACTTTGAATACACACAAGAGGACCGATCAGGTTCTGCTTCTTGGTCATGTCACCGCTCTTAAGCCTTAAAGGTAATTAAATAATAAACATTTGAATTGATGGGCTCCTCTGGCCATTAGAGAAATGGAGCTCAGACCCAGAGTTCCTAATATGGGCATAACGAGGACTACAGAATGACGCACAATTACAGTGGTCTATAATAAACCACTGTAGTCGTGTCGTCATTTTGTAGTCGGCTCCATGCTCTTATGCCCATATTAGGAACTCCGGGTCTGAGCTCCATTTCTCTATGGCCAGAATAAATGGGGTTTTTGAAAAATCGCCTCTATCGCCCCCTGTGATAAATAAAAATGTTCAGAACCAGATACGTTTTGTCCTGTGAACAGTCCTTATTCTCTCGAATACCACTGGATCCTCCGAATTACGAGGTCGTAAAGACCTGCAATATTCCTTTATTCTGGATAAACACAGTTTCCTGCTCAGCCGTTTCAGCCAGTTCTTATACTAATAACAGGCTGGTGCTGATGTGCAGGAGAGACAGGGAGACTGAGTGTTTCTTTATGGGTGAATCGATATGAAAGTAGAACTCCACCAACTCACCGACCCTCATTTAACACCAGGAGGTGCTGCTTCCCTTCGCAAAGCCTTTGGCCACAACATTGCAACCTTTCCTGATATTAATGACACTGTAATGTTGTAATTCTACGACTTTTTCCCCCAAAATAGTACGACTTTTTTCTCAAAATAGTACTTTCCTCAAAATAGTACGACTTTTTTCTTGAAATAGTACGACTTTTTTCTCAAAATAGTACTTTCCTCAAAATAGTACAACTTTTTTCTCAAAATAGTACTTTTTTCTCAAAATAGTACGACTTTTTTCTTGAAATAGTACGACTTTTTTTCTCAAAATAGTACTTTCCTCAAAATAGTATGACTTTTTTCTTGAAATAGTTTGACTTTTTTCCCCAAAATAGTATTTTTTTCTCAAAATAGTATGACTTTTTTTCGAAATAGTACTTTTCCCCCAAAATAGTACGACTTTTTTCTCAAAATAGTACTTTTTTCTCAAAATAGTATGACTTTTTTTCGAAATAGTACTTTTCCCCCAAAATAGTACGACTTTTTTCTGAAATAGTACTTTTTTCTCAAAGTGTACTATTTTTATTTTTATTAACAGTGGCCCTAAAACGCCGTCGTAGTAAGCTAAGATTCCTAAATCAAGATAAGATTTGCTTTTGTAAAACGAATTTGTGAAAAATCTTATCTTGACCTGTCAGAACTAAAACTGCAGCCATTATATAACCAACACAGAGCGCTAATGCAGGCTAATGTCACAGATGACCCGTATGTTCTAATTTGGTATGCTAACCATCTTTACCTGATATTAAGGAAAACATGGTCCTCCGATTAGGCTAAATATCAATTTTTTTATTCTTAAAAACCATACACATTACTTGACAAGTTTCAAATGTAAATTGAATCACAATAACCATTTACATTGCTCAAGATAAACAGACATGAAGTATTTTATTTCCAAATGTTAAGATAAAAAAATAATAAATCCATAAAACAGGTGGAAAAACATTCATCCCTGGTACAGGAAGAAGCTACAGAATAAACTTATGGATTCTCTTCTTTCCACATCTCTTTCCTACCTAGCAAACTCAAGCTGCTTTTTTTTTTAATTCGATAAACACAAGGAACAAAATAAATTATGCAAAAAAAAAAAAAGTTGGGGTGCGCTGCCTTAAGAACACATCCCTTTCTTCTCTGTGTCTTCTCCTCTTTTCCCTTACAGACACTAATGGAGGAGAAGACCAAGGGCCTGAACCAGGACCCTGCTGCCAAGAACAGAAGCTAATCTAAACATAAAAAAGTTAGTATTTGACCGTAGGTGTTTCCTTAAAGCCTGTTTCATACTATTAGCCACCCTGAGTAATATATTCCTAGCAGAACCGATCACAACCCTTGTTCAAAAGAGCGCCCCACCCCGACGGTTACTTCACTTTGTGTAAAATCCCCATAAGTCTGGTTCAGCAGGTCGAAAGATGTCCTCTATGCCCCATAAAAATACAAAGTTAAGCTTTATTTATATGGTCTGTATCAAAATTTCCAAAGGGAGTTGAAATAAAGTACCCTGTGCAGAGATCGCTGTCTAAGGTTTCCTTAAAAATCCTTTTTTTTATTTTTATTTTTTTTATTTTTAATTTTTTTTTTTAGTGTTTCCAGTATTTCAGGTGTGAAATATAATCTACAAACGAATCAAATGCAGTTTTCTTTTCATGACTGGAATATTTATGGAATAAGATGAAGAAAAAATACAAACAGTTTTTTTTTTGTTTTGTTTTTTTTTTTCCATTTTTGTAATGTCAACAAACCAGAAAATGTATGTTAAGGGGAAAAAATATTAAGTTCTCAAAAAATTAAACAAAATTTGAAAAGCCACTCTTTTTTTTTCTGACCGAGACGAGGTTTACTACCTAAAGACAAAAAAATCCTAAATTAATATGTTTCATGTTTGTATTCATTGCATCCCTTTCCGTTCATTCGTCCAAGCCTGAGTTCACAAACGTCAATGTGGTACAGCGTCGTAAAATTGGCAGGGACTGATTTTACCGGTGGACCTTTTTCTTCATATCTTCCTACAGAAGAACAAACTCACACATTGATGGTTTGTCTCTGGCTTCTATTTCGAATCGAGCTGATGAAACGTGAAACCTTTGGTTCCAGACATTTCACTGACGTTCTCCAACAATCATGATCTGAACTGGGAATGCAACACGGCTCCCATAAACATGAAAAAACTAGCTTTGAGACTGTTAAAGCAGTAGTAAATACCTAAGGAAATGTACTGTCTGAGGTCCTCGTCCGCATCCCCGTCCTCACCCATCTAAATCCGAGTGCCCCCCAATGGACCCCGACACCTCTGTTCGTTGCTATACAAGCCTTAGTGTTATTTATTTGGCTAGAAGAATCTATGTATCCACAAATATATAACAAATAAAACTTGCAGGCAAAAATAGTTCAGTTTCCATAGAAACACCCTTTTTTCCTGAAAATACAGCAGTATCTGAAATATTACTCTCATTTGTTTTCATTAGTCTCTTTTTTTTCTGCATCAGGAAGCTCCGTCACCAACAAACAGAAGAAGAAGAGTATCTACAAACTTTGTAAACAGACCTGCTTCTTCCAAAAAAAACATAAATAATAATTCAAAATATTAACAGCCAAATGGAGCAGAAATTAAAGTTATTTGACTGAGCGAGGGCCGAAGAAAGAAAATGTACACCACCATTCAGGAAAAAAAAAAATAGAAGCAAAAGCGTTTCGTCGATTTCTTACAGCTGATCTGCAAGCCTCCTCGGCATTAGAATATTAATAATTAATAATTAAATAATAACATCAACGTCATGATAAAAAATACAGGTCACTTTCAATATGAATTTGTAACCCCTCCGCTTTCACAAGGGGAGAGAGAAAGATTTGTTTAAGGAGAGGTGGAAATAGAGCCCTCCCCCCTCCTCCAAGGGGACATCCAGAATCAAATAAAGGTGGAAAAAAATAAAATAATAATAATATTAATAATAATAATAATAATATTACAGCCAACCCTACATTCTGATGAACGCTTGCTCTTGTCTCAGTCAAGCGCAAGCTACGCTCTCAGATTACGCTCAGCTCCGCCCCCTCACAGCCATGAGTCCGCTGAGCACGAATCTCCACGAAACAAGAGGTGGGCGTGGTGCAGAGTGTGGAAGGGCGGAGCCGATCAGAGGGACGTCTCCAGGCTGTGCATGGGGCTCGCGGGGGCCGAGGGAGTAGCCGGCTTGCTGCTGTCTACGAAGAGGTGGATGCCGCTGTCCACGGCGTTATTGTTCTGATTGGGCGAGGGGGGAGGGGGAGGCGTCGGCGTGGCGTTTCTCTTCGTGGGGGCGTCGTCCTCCACGTCTGTGTCGTCGATGAGGGGGATGTGGGGCTCCGAGTCCTCTATCCGGAACTCCGGATGGGTCATGAAGTTGTGGATGGAGGTGCGTGACTCGGGCTTCTCCAGCCCCTCATAGGGGCTCAGGGAGCTGCGGAATGCATTCACCACTCGGATCTGTGGGGGGAGCAGGGGCACGGACAGAGGCATAGTCAGCCTGGCAGCTTCACACAGCAACACGGATCACAGATACAGGCATTAAAAACCTCACACTTTGCATTTTGAGGTCAAACCATGGCCAAATAAGTTCGGAATTGTGAGAGGGTGTGAGCTGCGGGAGGACGTGAACACTGGTAGTGGTGAGTAAAAACCTGATTCCCATGTTATCGCCAGCTCCTTCTCCCACCGAGAGAGAGAGAGAGAGAGAAACCGTCTCTTTCCACTCTCACGTCAAGGGGGAGGGGGGGGATGTACAAAATATAAATAAAGTAATAAAGAAAGACATTAATAAATCTGTACATCCCCTTTCAGTAGTAATGTCAGAAACTGTTATAGCCAGTGTCCAGTTATTCAAAATGCAAACGAGAGAGAGAGAGAGAGAGAGAGAGAGAGAGAGAGAGAGAGAGAGAGAGACAGAGAGAGAGAGAGAGAGAGACAGAAAGAGAGAAATAAAGGAAGACAGTGAGAGATCTGTACATAACAAACCCAGAGGACACAGCTCAACACATGAGGTTAACTGATTTGGACATGCTTGGGTGAGGGGGGGTGGGTGGGTGGAGGGGGGCATCAATCACTGATTATGTTTCGATACAGAAACTTTGAGCAGCCAAGCAGATCTAAAGCTGTAAAGCACAAGTAAATTCACAAACGGACGAGAGACTAGACCCATGCAGAGCGGCGCTACCTTGTGTTCAACAGAAGTAAACCTTTGAGTATAGCCCATGACACATTTCACAGAATCTGAGGAGGAATATGTTGGGAGTCAGTGTTGCAAGTTTTGTTTGCACATCAGCTTGGAGACAAAAGGACAGTTTGGCTACAGAGAGACGTTATGTGATTATGTTAAGGAGCGGAGGTTGTTACAGATGCCCAGGATGCACCAGGATAACACCATCAGCAGCGCACCTAGAAAACAGACATGATCAATCTCACTGAGGAGCAAAGGGCTTCTCTCCAGACTGGACCCGGAAGAAGCTGTGGAAATATGATATTGGAAGCAAGATACACCTCAAACGAATGATTCTTGGGCCCAATCCCATTTCACCCCTCGCCCCTACCACTGATCCCTACCCTTCTATTTACGCGTTCATGTCTAGGGGTAGGGTGTCCCGATTCTTGTTGAGATAGAGGGGTAGGGCGAAGTGTTGGGGCTACATGGCCCTCCAAACGGAGGTTTTTTAGAGACTCCAAACAGAGTGATATGAGAAAAATAGGAAAACTGGCAGGGTGGCTAAACAAGAGACCAAAGAAACCCACAAATATGAGAATTTTCTCTGTTCAAAATTATAATAACCGCTGTATTATCTTAGTTTAGGGCCGTTTCAATGTATTATGGTGCTTTTCTTCATAACAAGCTTTAAAAATCGCTAGTAGTGTGCTGATGTCTCGGTAGCTAGGCAGCTAAATTTCCTGTTCCACCTTAAATGGTGCAGCAGTTCTGATGCCCGAGTCGCCAGAGTGTAACTGCTGCACCATTTAAGGTGGAACAGGAAATTTAGCTAGCTAGCGACTGAGACAACAGCATACTACTAGCGATTTTTTTAAGCTTTTTTAATGAATAATAAATGTAACTAAAGCTTTATTCTCCTCTGCTGTCACTGCAGACTGGCAGGGTCGCCTACAGAGCAGCGCTGGTAGCTGTTAATGAAGTGATGCTCTTTTTATTTGAGGGTCCCATTTCAGAGGGAAGATTTCAACCACTCCCTTTGTAACTCAGTTGCAAGGGGCAAGGTGACACTTGGAAAAACAAGGGGTAGGGGTAAAAATAAGAAATGGGATTGGGCCACATACATATGCAGATGGCACAGAATCCAGATGTATTAAAACTATATCCTGCAAAAGCAACATAATTAAAGGAAGTGAATGAAAATGTCAGACAATAACAGCAGCAATGAAAGAACAAATACGGCATGGTGGGCATCAATAACACTGCTCACTTGAAGAAAAGCAAATGGTTAACAGTTTGAATGGATGTGAAGCTGTTAATAATCAGTTACTGAGTAAAGGAAACAGACAGAAGAGAACAAAGAAGCTGCTGGTGTTATCAGAACAATGGACTGGCCACCCCAGAGTCCAGACCTCAACATCTTGTAATGTGTCTGGGGTCACACGGATCGCAAGATGATGTAAAACCAACTAAGACTGAACAAATGGCTGTACATCTATATAGGATGAGAGAAACTGCATGCAAGAAATTGTACATGACACTGAGCACATGACAGCCATGATAACACAGGAACACGCATTACGGCTCATTAAAACGGCAGAAATGCACCAGCTGGAAAAAGACAAGAAAGAAACAGAGACAGAGAAGATTCCAGAGAGGACGCAGGGCTGCCTCGCTGCAGTCTCAGGGCCGGCTGTGGTGGTCTCGGTAGGCAGCCGGCCGAGGAGATTAGCCTGTGATAGAGACAGGCAAAGAAAGTCATCATTTGGCAGGAGTTATCACAGCAAGTCAGCCCTCGATCAAGTTTAAAATAACCCCACAAAGCCTTTAGCGAGGCTGATTTTAGCAGCGATGTGATTGACCTGGTTGTCGGTGTGACCATGGGCATATACTCAAAACATTTACACACAGAGAGGACTAGAGCGGTCACATAGCCCAGTGAGCACGCGCAGAGGGGCCGAGGCACAGCAGCGGCTGCAGACGCAACAGACACAATGCCGACCTGTTAGAATGTCAACACACTGTTTATCTGAGAAACCCAGCCAAAGCCGTCGAACAGAACAATGACACAGAGACCTCAGCTCACTGGCCTCGGAACAATACACACAGATATCTCCATAAAAAACAGCACTTATATTTAGAAGCGGTGGTGGATGTTTATTTTTGACTCACAGTTTTTCTTTTTGCTTTTCTTTATCAAGAGGGACATTAGGAGAAGAATGTAGAACGTTAGGCGAGTGAAGGAGGAAATGTTAATTGTCATGCACTAAGAAACACGCACTCACACCCCACAGTGGCAGAAGCTGTGTTGGAGGCAGTGGCAGTAGAAAAGGCTACATGTGTAGGGCTAGAAACATTGGTTACATCGTGCTGTTGGCTGGCGCTGGAGGGGTGACGCCTGAGGGCCCCCTGAAAGGAAGTGCCGCTCTGGAACGCACTCACTACATCCATCTGCAAGGAATCAGAGAGCATGACAGGAGGGCCCAAAGAACGCAAACAAGAGAGAGGAAGAGAGAGCGAGCGAGAGAGAAAGAAAGAAAAAGAGAGAAGCAGGGAGGGAGGATAGAAAAAGAAGGGCACCCATATAAAGAGAGGACAGGAGACAGGTAGCAGCTGAGAGAGAAAGGCACTGTATGGAAAATAGTCCCGGTTATAGCCTCCCTGACATCATCGATCAGCCCGTATCATAAATCCGTCAGATGTAAAATAGCTACATTCCTACTTCACCAGAAACAAGACTGTTCACTAAACTCAACTATAGGAAACAGGAGCGCTTTAGCACTGATCAAGTGGAGCGGGACTTAATTTAGGGTTCCTGAGTTCTATGGAAGCTGTGGATGAGTGAATGGAAGCAGCCAGGTGAGGTTACCTGAGTCTGTATCCGGTTGAGACCTCGGAACCAGAGGATCTGCCCCCTGCGCAGCTCACGCTCAGCGTGGTCGATCTCGTCAAGGTCCTCCATGTCCTCCAGCTCTTCCTCTGGGATCTCCTCCTTCTGAGTTCCATGACCTGCTGTCTTTAGGAACTTCAAGCGACTGGTGGGGATGGAGGAGATGACCTACACACGGGCAAAGCGACAGGAAGACACTCAAACGTTGCTCATTTGCAGAATAACACTCACTAAAACTCAATACAATACTGTGCAAAAGTCAGAGACCCTACATTTAATTTCCAGTCCAAACCACCATTAAGTACAAGTTAGACTCCAAACATCAGTGCAAGACCTGGTAGACACCAACTGTCCCCATCAGATAAACAGCACTTAAAGCTTTCATCTTTGAGAGAGAGGAGAAAATCAAGCTGCTTCAGATCTGAAAACATCCACAGGTGTTTCTGTGAGAAGACAGCTCAATGTTATGGGTCTGAAAGGATGTGCAGCTGTTAAGAAGCCTCACTGAGAAAAGGAAAAGAGCAAAATCGAAAAACATTTGCAAATCTCAACCTCAACGCCACTGAAAATCCAACTCCAACTGAACTTTGGAGGTGTAGAAGTAAATCCCTGCAGATTTGTTTAAAAAAATTAAAGTCTCCCAAAAAATGGACACTGTAATAAAGACAAATGGTGAAATATACTAAATACTAAAAGTTTGTGTTTAGTTATTGAGAGTTCTGTAATTTTCTGTTAAGTATATCTTGACTGGTGACCTGTCCAGGGTGTATCCTGCCGTCCGCCCAGTGACAGCTGGGATAGGCTCCAGCACCCCACCGCGACCCAGAAGGATAAGCGGTTTAGATGATGTATGTGTATGTATATCTTTTCTGCTTTTTCGTGATGTTGAAAAATGAATCATTTATACTGGTCTCTGACTTCTGCACAGTACTGTATATGTATGTTACATATCTGACAGAAATACATAAAAAAATAACTCCTGACATTTGACAACTGTTCTCTGCAGTTTGACCACAAGGGGGAGGTGTTCTACCAATGTACAACTACAAGTGGTTAATAGCGCTGGGATATAAACACTTTCCCAATCCTGGTCCTGGAGGCCAACCTGCTCTGCACATTTTAGTGTTCTCCCTGCTTCCAACACACCTGATCCAACTAATCAGCTCATTGACAACCTCTTCTTGAGTTGAAGTTGGGGGTGTTAAAGCAGGAAAGCACTAAAATGTGCAGGACAGGAGGCCTTCAGGACCAGAGTTGGGGACCCACTGCTCTAAAACATTCTGAAGCAGTTTCTCTCGTCGAAGTCTGGAGAGTTCTGATTCAGAAACATGGTTATTATTATCATTTAATTACTGAAAGTCAAACATAAAATGCACAGTGTGCTCTGATGTTATGCCAGACAACTTAAACCTCATGTGGTCTTCTACTGAGCTTCACACTCACTAACTATACCAGTTTAGATGGATATTTAGAGAACTGTTGGCTTACCTGACCCCAGAGGAGACAGCCAAAGCCTAAGAAGATGCACCATAGCCACTGGTCAATGGAAAGGCCTACACAGCTGAAAGGCTTTCCTCCAAACTGGACGATCACAATCTAGCAAGAGATAACATCACATGTCTAGAAATAGCCTAAAAAAGTGCTTTTATTGGACTTTTACTCCAAAGAGAAACCTATTTTTTCTTCATCCCACCTGGATGACAAAAGTGCCAAATACGATGGAGCAGAAGATCATATTGTTGAAAATGCCATCAAAGACGTTCCTCTCCCCATGGATCTTACGGGCGTTGATTTCATTGAAGAGCTGCATCATGACGAAGGTGTTGAAGACAATGGTGTAGTGTTCGGAGGGGGGAGCATGGAGAGGGGCGTTACGACCGCTGTCTATATCAAATATCTTCTCACCTGAAAGAACGAAAAGTGTTAGTGTAGATCCTAATACAGTCATTAAGGTGTAGTATTGCATCTTGTCTGCCATGCTCACATTGGTAGCATGCATGGTGATGTGAGCAGGTGATGATGATTCAAATCCAAAGCGAATTACTGGACCATACAGTAAAAATATCAAAGGCTGCTGTGATACACATGAACAAGAGTGGCATCAGATACTGCCCAGATGAGCTGTCTGTGATTTCCGCAGCTAAATAAGCAGTTTGTATGTTCGTTGATGATTGACACATTTTTTCACCAATCAAACAGTGATGCTAGACCACTGTCTTGTGTTTGATGAACACACAGCACAAATTACCTGGTTTATGTTCATCAAACACAAGACAATGGTCTAGCATCACTGTTTGATTGGTGAAAAAATGTGTTAATCATTGACAAACATACAAACTGTGCTTATTTAGCTGCACAAATCACAGACAGCTCATCTGGGCAGTATCTGATGTCACTCTTTGACCCTTCCCTACTAGATATCAACATGTTATTCTGAATATGTTTAAAGGTAATCAATCACAACAGACTGTGTTTATTCTCAACATACACCAATGTATTAATAAGTGCTGTAAATGAACAAAAAATAATAATAATTCAAAAATAATAATGTGTGCAGGGGTCCTTTTGGAGTATGTTGCCTTGAGGCAACATTATGTGCCAATGGGAAAAAATGATGTAGAGATCTGTTCCCTGAAGTGTTGAGACCTGGCTTGTGACTGGCTAAATCCATTCCACTGTCGCACAACGTTGCTTCTAGGCAACAAACATATTTCTGCAAATTCTCATAACAAAAAAAAACAAAAACAAAAGAAAAACAACTGATACTGAATGTTAAAAAGAGGTTTAAAAGAGGTTTAAAAGTGCCCACTAAGAGATAGGACGACCAAGTTCATGCTTTTTATTGACTCAAACTCTTCCCTTTATTGTTAACCCTATTGTTGTCTTTAAATATGTATAAGGTTATCGTAAAGAGAGGAAAATGAGTTTGTTGCCCTGAGGCAACATCGTGCAATAGCACTAACTGCATTCTCTGGCTCTCACCTGCAAACAACAGAGTGAAGATGATGGTAAGCTGGTAGACACCGTGGCCCAGGATGTTCTTCATCATGGTTCTGGAGATGAGGGGCTTATTGCGTCCGTACGGTTTTCTCAGCAGCAAAGACTCCGTGGGCGGCTCGGTGGCCAGAGCCAGCGAGGCAAAGGTGTCCATGATGAGATTTACCCACAACATCTGTACTGCTTTCAGAGGAGAGTCCTGGACACAAGGGATAAACAATATATTACACAAGCGAACACAAAAACATTAAGTGCGCAAGTCCCAACAAGTTTCTTTCTTTCGTTCTTACACATTTCTGTATGTGTGCAGGACGGGTTACACTGAATCACAACAGGCAGTTTCATGTCTCAAGACTGAAAACCGAAAATAAAAAAAAATCTAAATAAACAAACCCAACAAATACCAAAAAACTGAACAACAGGACAACATTAGCCCAGACTGGCCATTCATGTGCAGCATTTTCTCCGTAATATCTTTGCGTGCCACCCAGCTTGGATGAGATATAGACATTAAGATGTAACTGGCAGGATAATTTCGGGCAACATAATCCATTTTCAAATTTAAATATTTGAGATTCTAGTTTGGGGCGTTTTAGTTTGACTGAAATAGTTTCACTTTTGCTCTTTAATTGACAAGTAAAACTAGAGCTCCCCCTGCTGGATGTTTGCAGACATAAGCAATCAACTTCCTATAGCATTCTTCACACGGCCTTATAATTAATTTACATAAATAATTCTGTGCAAACAGACACCAGCTACCACACAGTTAATGCATATTTAATGCATCTAGGGCAAACAAACATCTAGGGGAAACACTGCATGTGCAATAATTTATCACCATGGACTGCTTGTAGTAATGCCAAGTCAAAATATATATATATATATTTTTATTTACCCTTTTTTCCTATTTATTTATTTATGTATTCCCTCAATATTTTTTTCATTACAAATACAGCAGTTTTGCAGGAATTTAGAGAGAAAAAAAACTATAAAACACAGGAAATATTTTGGGCATATGTTCTCCTAATGAGCAAAATGCTTCGGAGTAATGAGGCTAATGTAGTGGTTCCCAGTACTGGTTCTGGACCACCTTGTCCTGCATATTCTGGTGTTTTCCTGCTCCAACACACCCGTTATGATCACATAACACTGTGAGCATCACAGCACTCTCACTACCAGTTAAGAAGATAACAGTTAACTGGTAGAGAGAGTGTTCAGTGAACACCCCCCTCTCTCTCTCTCTCTCTCCTCCAGTTTCCCAAAAGCATATTAGCGTTGAGTGTTGCGTCATCATTATACTGAACACTTTCTCTACCAGTTAAGATGATCTTAACACGCTCTAATACGATCTAAAATGCTTTTGGGAAACTGGGCCCAGATCATCAACAATTTTCCTGAGCTCTTTCGTTAGACTGCTGTAGACAAACTACCAGAGAGATTGAAAGCAAATCTACGAGAGAAGAACCTGCTGCCAAAAACATTACAAATGTAATACGAAGCACTTTCCTCAGACCTCTTTGTACTGCTTCAGTTGTACAGTGTACACTGTCTATATCCATAGCTTTGTCTATGCAACCTGACAACAACTGTGACCCTTTCTTTAAAAGAAACATGCTACATGCTTTTCTGTAATAACTCTCAGTAAAAAATGTGTACTTGCCATTTGCTATTCCCAACAATATAAAGCCAAACCCCTGTGAATAGTCTTGCTTCACAGTGACAATTCTGAATCAGTTCACTTCAGATGAGAACTGATCAGCTGCTCCAGTTATACTAACCAGTCATGTGTAGCATTGCTCACGTTCTGTCAAATAAGCAAGCACTTAATTCCAAACATGAAAACTCAAGATTCAGAAACCAATCCCCTCTAGTGCAGTCCAGCGACAACATTCCTGGGAAAAATTTAACATTTAACATAAAATCCTATTTCACCCTGAGACTAAAACACAGGGTAACTGCTGTAGAATTATTAAGTTCATTAAGTTCATGATAATAGTGTATTTTTACTTGCTTGCTTAGGTTTAAAGGTAAATTTGTACAAAATTTGGCAGATATCTTTTGATACCCGACATCTATTTTAAATACCCATCATTTGTGCTCTATGGCTCCAAAAATGGCGCATCGCTCTTGTTCCCTAACGATGGCTATTCGTGATGTAATGTGCAGACAGCCGCTAAGCTGTCATTATGGTTACAACAGAGTCTATAGAAACCTTCAAATTCAGTTGGAAGCTGGTTTTCCTGGCTGCTAACAGTAATAATTTTCACCTATTAACCTTTTTCACCCACTGTTTGAAAGCTACGAAACAAAGAAATCCAAATATGCAGAAATGCTCATGCAACATGGCTCTTTCATGTTTTGGTAACACTATCGTAGTTCTGACCAGCCCAAAAAATTAAATATTATGTATGTGGATTTGCTGATGTTCATGAGCTGCTGCTGTGCTGAATTTGGGGGAGGGGAGATTCTCTCTCAGAGCAATCTGCTGGCAGTAGACCCCCCCCTGCCCAACACTGGAAACTCTTCACATCTACATGATTCACAATGTATGTATTTCACTGTCCCATGTTTTATTTCAATATTCCATGTGTGCAGCTGGTCAGGATAGCGCATTCAGTGTGTTACCTGTGTGATGCAGGCTCCGGTGAAGGCCACAATCACAGCCACTACATTGACCGTGAGCTGGAACTGCAGAAATTTGGAGATGCTATCATAGACGTTGCGCCCCCACATGACTGCTTTGACAATGCTGGTGAAATTGTCATCAGTGAGAATGATGTCAGAGGCCTCTTTCGCCACATCTGTGCCAGCGATGCCCTGAGAACAACAAACAAACATTTATCTGGATCTACAATACGACAGTGTTCACTCTGTACTCGCGTGTAAAAACAAATACGCAGGCAAATCTAATACCATGGCAAATCCAACATCTGCCTTCTTCAAGGCAGGGCCATCGTTGGTTCCGTCTCCCGTTACTGCTACTACTTGTCTCTGTTCTTCGACGGTGCTGTCGATGATACCTGCAAATTCGAGAGCGATATCACGTCTAAGGAAAGCAGCATCTTTCGGATCAACGTATCACAATACTTGCTTTCAATATTGATACATAGATACGAGTCATTCTATGGAAACGTCCATTTTTGTGTCCCTAGCATTTATTGATATATTATGCTTGAAAAACATGTTAGGGTTACAATTTATTTATATTTTAAAATAAAACAATAAGCTATTTTAACAGTTACACCTTCTTGAGCCTCAATTTAGCAATATTGGTTTTAAAATCAATTATACAGAATTCCAAGCACCACAGAAGAGCTTGTCCTCACAGTCATGTGTAAAGAGTGAGTGACATATTTTCAGGTAAAAAACATGTTTTTCTTCAATTTTAACTGCAATAATCTACACATGACTATGAAATAGATGGTTTAAATGACATAAAGAAAACAAATGCCAAATAAATATTATAAAATATACAATGAAAGTTGTCCCCAGGAGTCGTGTCACTGGTGTTACTGCGTAACAAACAAATCTCTTATTTTGAAATAAAAGTCACACTGATGACATCACTTGACTTCCTTTTACCTATTTTCTGAGGATCTATGAAGAAAAGCTCATGGTGAGTCCACTGTGTCTTTCAGTTATCAGAGATTTTCTCATTTAGCTCATGATTTCATATGAAGCTTTTAGCTGAAGTCACTGGTGTGACCGACTTTATTCTGAGGTCATTGTGAACAAACAGAAAACACATGGATTAAATTACATATTTTAGTGGATGTTCCATGATTGACAACATGTGGTTTGATGCTCTGTAGCTGCCATTTTGTAAAATGTCACTGGCGTTACGTTTCTTATGTGTAACACCAGTGACGATCAGTAACACCAGTGACTCCTATGGACAGATAAAAAAGTGGACGTTTCTGTAAAATGACCCATATATATATATGCTTCATTTAGTCAATGTGAAGTGGAGGAGAAACAGCATACCTTTAACTAACGTGTGCTTGTCTGTCGGTGAAGACCTTGCTAAGACCCGTAGTTTAGGCCATATCTTATCAATCCGCTCTTGTTCGATCTGTAAAGGGGGTACGTCAGTCAGTATTTTTGAAGGAGTCTCGTGAGCGTGTAGTCCTGCAGAAACAGCAGCGCTTCTCTCACCTCTCCCTTCTCGTTGCGTATCCGCCGATTGAATTCCTTTCCCTCCAGGCAGAGGAAATCATCCCCAGGCTGCAGGATGCCGCACTTGGTTGCTATGGCGCGAGCAGTATTGATGTTATCCCCGGTGACCATGCGTACTGTGATGCCGGCACGCTGGCACTTTCTAATGGCATCGGGGACCTGAATGAGAGAGCTGGGTCAGACCGCTGTTAGCAGCTACAACCCTCAGCACTGACACTATGCAAAATGGAAATGCATTGAACATCTAATCTCAGCTATAACATAAAATAGGTAACGTCTACAGACAGCCACTACCCAAATGTCTAATCATGCTAGGAGAAATGCAGCCAGTAGTTAAGGGTCGTACTTCTGGTCTGACGGGGTCCTCGATGCCCACCACACACACACAGGTGAGGCTGGTAAGAATGTCGCTCTCATTTTCCCAGTCTGGTTCTCCGTCGGTAGCAGGGAAGTCCCTGTAGGCCAGGCATATTGTTCTCAGGCCTTCAGAGGCCATCGGCTCGATCACCTTCTTCACCATGTCGTCCCGGTCTCTGGGCCGGAACACCTTGGCCTCACCAGTCGCTGTTAGGATCTTGTAACATCTAGTTGAGAAGGACAGAGAGAAAAGATGAAAGAGAAAAGGTTATGAAACAGCAGTCAAGCCAGCAGGAAAGACCATCTAGGTAATTCCTTCGGGAAAATCCATCAATATCTGACTGATAAGCTTTAGGAAAGGAACAAAGCATTTGATCTGCTTGGTGAGCCTACTGACACAGTTTGTTCCCAAACTTAAAGATGTCTGAGCTTCCACAGCTCAAAGATAGAGCTGGGCTTCGGGTTCAAAGGATGCCTACTTCTTGAGTAGAATTTCCGAGGCTCCTTTGCTGAACATGCGGAAGCTTCCATCAGCATTCTTCAGCACGGTGCTCATGGATTTCCTGACAGAGTTGAAGGTGTAAACCTTGTAGAGCTTCTCCTCGGGGATCTCGTTGCGGATTGCTTGATAGTCCTTTTTCAGGTCCAACACAAAGCCAAGCAAGGCACATTCTGTTTTGTTGCCCACCTGACGAGGCAGCCCGCCCTCCTTCTCAGGGGGCTGAGGGACGAGAAAAAAAAAAACAAAAAAAAACGGATAACAACTAGAAGCAACACGTGTACCAAAGCTTAATAAAGTTAAAAAAAACTAAAAGCATAGTACAGTTGTTCCTAAAACTCTGACGTAATTGAATCAACATTGCTGGCTTATTCTGTGAAAAACGGATGCAGGTGTACTCACCATGATCTTGGTTGTGTAAGCACAGTTGACGCTGATGCCCAGAACGAGCAGATCCATGATGCTGGCAGGGATGACCTCCGGCTCAGGGACCCTCCTGTAGTGCTTGTCTGCGATGTACGCTTGCACGACAGTCATCCTGTTCATGGTCAGAGTGCCTGTCTTATCCGAACAGATGGCAGTGGCATTGCCCATGGTCTCACAGGCATCTAAATGCCTCACCAAATTGTTGTCTTTCATCATTTTCTAAAAAAAAAAACAGAATAATAATGAGAAAAAAATAAATAAATAATACAAAATAGAATAAACAAATAAAAATTAGGAGGTGGGGGTGGGGAGATGTGCAATATAAACAGATTGAGTGCAAGATTAAATAGGAGAAATCCTGAAATCCCCACACAAAGTCAGAAATCCAATGGCTGACAAACAAGCCTCGAACAGTGTTACCACAGTGTTGCACAATGAAAGGATGAAAGGCAAGGACCAGCAAGTCGAGTGCTACATAAGGAAAGTGGGGATGCCAGACCAGAGTGACTAAAACGATCTGATTAGTGGACGAGGAGGTGTTGTCTAACATGACCCTGGCAAAGACATGTTTTGCTGGCTTTAAGGTAGCATGTCAGGACAGGTCATGGAGACTATTGAGCTGTCTACCTGCTTTAAGCTGCTTTTAGAAACAGCTGAAGGTACATACTTTGACAGAGTAAGCCAGCGAGATGGTAACAGCGAGAGGCAGACCCTCAGGGACGGCCACCACCAGCACGGTCACACCGATGATGAAGAACTTCACAAAAAACTGGATGTAGATGGGCGTGCAGCTTTTCTCCCAGGGAAGGCCTTGCACCCAGAAGGTGTTCACTATAAACAGCACCACCAGGATTATGACGGTGATGGCAGACATCACCAGACCTGCACAGAAATGAAACAAGCACAACCTTAACACTAGGGCTGAGTTAGGTCGCCCAAACCACAGACCCCCAGCCCAAACCAACATGGCATCAGCTTCAGAAAGGACAAAACGGGGTCATAGACAGGCACAGCCAATCCTAAAGATGGGAGGAAGGAAGAGTAGAATTCGGCGATGACCTGCTTTGCCGATTTGGACGGCTAGTCTGGTCAGCTTCCCCTGAAGAACGGATTTCTCCTTCTTTGGCAAGTTGGCTTTCCGCTTCTCCTCTGCATCTGCCCCTTCATCACTGTTCAGCGGCTGCATTTCCATTGCAGCTCCGTCCTGGGCTTTAGCTATAGGCACAGAGAGAGAACAAAGGAGAGAAGGGTTATATAAATATACATTTTGAGAAGAAATTATTTAAAAAAAAAGAACTACATCAACATTTACAGACGCACTTGTATTTGATAGGCTTATAAAAAGTCTAAGCAGAAACTCCCAGAGATGCTATAATTCCTGCTGTGGTATCTGCCCAAACCTGGTCCAGGAAAACCGCCGCCTTATACTTCGCATTTTCTCTGCTGCAATACACCTGATCCAATTAACCTCTTATGCTTGTGGGTATATTTTGGTTTTTCCATCTGAATTTACATGACCAAATCATACGGCAAATTATTCAGTAACTCCATGAAATAAATGTACATTTTTATTTTATTTATTTATTTTTTGTAACAGTTCCCCTCAAACTAACAGAAAATGTGTTTTATGATCATACACTTATTGCTATATGCTTACAATACTGTAAAAAAGCCAAACTTTACTGCTGAAAGCCAAAAATCTTAGACGCTCTTTGTAATTTTTTATAAAAATAATGTTTACAGAGCAGATCACTGAAGAGACGCCATCTGTTTATAGTTTATAGCCCAGATTTGTGGAAAAATCAGTCGACTTTATAATAAAAGAAAGTTTAAAAATGACATCACCCATCTATTTGACTGGAAAGAAGACAGTTACAGCTCTCATATGACCCCCACCTTCTGAATGTAGCTTATGAAATATTACAGTTATGAAGAATCTGACGAAGTGCGTTTTGGAACCACCGGTGGTTCCAAGGAGTTTAAAAGGTTAATCAGCTATTTAACGAGCTCTTGCTGAATTGAGCCGAGCAGGGAAAACATAAAAATGATGAGCGCAGGAGTACCCCAAGGTTGGGAACTTGTGCACTACGCTATCCATTTTCTGGGAATTTAAAAGAAGGGAGATTCCCAGCCACTAGTGACCACACATGGGTCAGCTTGCACAAGCTAAACATAGGATGCTACCAATTATCAGTAACTATCGGCCGTAATTGCAATATCGGACTAATAATGATAATAATTAACATAACCTGTTCATGCACAGGCACCATCCATTGTCTTTCTTACCTTAATCGATTAATTCGATTACTTGAGAATATGTTTGTTACGTTGGTATCTGTTTCCTTACTTAGCTTCATCTTTGGTTAATGCTTTTGAACAGTCGAACATTCCTGTGGATTTCTAATCATTTTCAGAGTTAGAGGCTTATTTATCACCGTCAACAAAACATTTTTATCATAATAACAGGAGAATATTGGCAAGTACTTAACGAAGGATGTGATATTAGGCTATAACGTTCGGGTAAATAAGCTGCTCATTTATCCAAGTTATTTCAGTCATGATGGAACTGAACTACGAGCACCAAGTTGGCAATAGAAGATGTACTTGATTTTAACAGAGCTAAACAATATTTTAAAAGATTTACATCTTGAAATTACTACTGAATCATCTCTGCTATCCAGGTAAGCAGAAATCCAGTCAGACTCATCTGTCTGCTTACACAGCAATTTTAGGACCAATTATAAAAAGGAATGGATGAATTTTTACTGGAATTATTTATTTATTTACTGTTTATTAACTACATTGGGATCCAAATGTCTCTGTCAACTTTTTTTTTTTTAATTACAAATTATATTATCAGCATAAGTGACAAGTACAATTTTTGAAATTACAGAATTTTAGTGTTTGTCTCCTTTGCCCTTTAATGACGTCGAGCTGGCACAGACTCTGATCACTAACGGACACTTAGAGTCGTCTGAAAACTAGTGTTCCCAAGAGCTTGCTTGAATATTGCTTTTTATTTTACTCTTAACTTTTTTTTTTCCAAAAACTAAAACTTTCTGTTGTTTATTTCCAGAATTAAATGAAAACAATCCCAGATTTTTAATGGTCTCAGACTTTTAGACCCCGACTGAAAGAAAAGTTAATCATGAAACGTAAATACTCTTATATCTCAAGTCCTCGTTGAGAAACACCAACGAACATTCGAGGCTTGTGAAATGTTATTCGGACCAGCGCCGCTGATTTGGGTACTTCACGCGTGACATATAAGATATGAAGGGTCCGGTTTGCGTGTAATGCGAGTTCTGTGATATTCTGCTGTGGCGCGGCGAGTCTGTTCTCCACTCACAGGGCTATAATCCTAGTCTGAGGGATTAAACCTCATTCCTGGCAGCACGGCAGTGAGAGAGGCTCTACAGGCAGCACACATATAGTCCTGTTTCTACACCAAATACAGACCCAATAACTCAGAATTTGTCATCATTAGCACTAGCTTCACTTTTGTCTGTATAGCAGCCATCCGAAGAGCACAACCACCACGGCAGCGGAGGCTCCACCTTACATACGGTCATAAACACATGCAAAGAGGCCAGCTTTAATGAACATCCAATAGTACTAATGGGTTAAGGGAATGGTTTTAATGCAAGCTGCAGCACCTAAGAGGCTGCCAGCTAAGCCAATATGCCATTCATTATGCAGTTAAGTCAATAGGGTTACTCACCTTTCTTTCTGTTCTCCGCAGAGCCATCTTGCTTTTTGTCTGTGGAGAGAAAGAAGGCATCAGAAACATCCCAGAACTTATTTATAAGTGGGGACCATGGTGCAGGAGATGACTCTGTGACTCATTCGAACACATTTTCAATTATGCAAATGCCCTCTTTGATTTAATAGAGTGAGCGACAGTGCGCTGGGGCCTCACTACAGTATGAAAACGCGCTACCAGACCAATAGACACACCCATCCGCACGACCGCGTGCTCACTGAACCACAACTGGTGCCCCAACCTCTGTGAGCACTGGACTATTAAAATATCTGGAGGCATTAATTCGAACTGCTCCCACATGTGAGCAGCAAGCTGCCGAAATTCATTAAAAGGCCGTTAGCTAATGGAGCGCAGCAGAAATCCTCGCAATACACTCAATTAGAGACGTGAATGTTTTCTGTGTAAATAAGACATCATGAGCTTTTACCAGACTGAAGAAAGCTAAATATAAAATAAATAAATAAATAAATCCTGGGTCCATTTGATCCCTGCAGGTTTGCAGTGGCAAAACAAACAGAAACTAGAGGTGAAACTAATCTGCATTTGAAAGGAGGGGTACATAAACCATCACACGCTGAAATCATCACACACTCGCCTCACCTGAATCAAAATATACACTGTATCTCCAAAAGCATCCAGACATGCTTTCTAATTACTGAATTTAGCTACTTTAAGGGCGTTCCAGCTTCTGACATGGACCTACAGCTTCTATAGTCTCCATAGCACTGGTCTGAGGAGCAGTGGAGTGATGGAGCACCATCTAATATCTTTGGCATCATCCAACATGAACATTTCAGGATTTGTGATGTCAAAATGAGGCCTAAACCACCCCAAAACACCATCTATGAGCAAACGAGTGAAATCAGCAGCACCACGGAAAGCAGTCATGTGAGCAGCGTGCGGTCGACCTTCATTTTCTGCCTTCCTTTTCTGGCACGCCCAAATTAGATAACAGCTTTTCTTTGTTATGCTATGCGAACACTGTCGCCACCTCAACTACAGACTGAAAGGCGAGTGACTAACGTGGCCGTATCTCCAAAAGCATCCAGACATGCTTTCTAATTACTGAATTCAGTCACTTTAAGGGCGTTCCAGCTTCTGACTTGGGCCTACAGCTTGTATAGTCTCCATAGCACTGGTCTGAGGAGCAGTGGAGTGATGGAGCACCATCTAATATCTTTGGGATCATCCAACATTAACATGCGACCTTGCTAATGCTCTTGCGGCTGAATGCAGCCAAATCCTCACAGCAATGATCCAACACCAAGTGTAAAGCTTTCCCAGAAGAGTGGAGGCTGTTACTGCAGCAAAGGAGGACAAACTTACTATTAATACCCTTCATTTGAGAACAAATGTTGGACGAACAACTATGAGGTCAACTATGAAGCCACATAATTGAGTCCATTTGGGATTATTTCACAGCTTGACAATTTAAGGCAAGTGAATGATGATTTTAGCATGGAGCTGGCATGAAGCTAACCAGAGATCATAAGCTTATGTTACTTATTATTTTCGTTAGGACTTTTAGTTTCAGTATAAAACTACAACAGCAAAAAGTAAACACAAAATATGGCTTGGCTAATCAACTACTTTTAACAAGAGGGAAAAATCCCTGCAAAAAAACATCTTAAAAGTAGTCAATATATCTAATATTTCTCATTTTGAGATTTGTTGCGAGAAGAACAAGATTATGTTATGTACTTACACACATTTGTTTACTTGTTTTAGATTTATATTGACCGATAATTGTGCTTGTTTCAAAAAATATGGTTGAAAAAATGTAAAAACAAGTAAAATAATCCTATATTTTTGTTTCAACAATCTCAAAATGAGAAATATATTAGATATATTAGACATTGACAAGATTTAAGATTGTTTCACCTGCCAAAATATCATTTTTTGCAGCGTGTGAATTTATTCCTTGAACACGCAAAATGGTGCAAAGATATTCTGAACTCGCATGACTCAACACAGAGAGAACAACTGACTCGTTATGCACAACAGCAGGCACCACTTAAACTGTATCTTCTTTTAAAGCATCAATTTGATGAAGACAAATGCCTTTTTCCTAACACAAACTGAGAAAACAACCAACAAACAACAGATAAATGATGTAAACATGTGCACCAGCAATTAAATGAGGAACTATATTCGGTATAAACATCACATCATCTTCAAGAATTGCGCAACAGCTCAAAGCACTTCTCTGGAAAACCGAGCAAAGCCACAGGAATGTTTCGAACAACAAAGAAGCTTGTTTGTTAGAGGGCAAATAAAAGACGTAAGCTATTTCATTTGGCTGAGCTCATTCTGTAGATATGGTTCTAGATTTCAGGATTTGTGATGTCAAAACGAGGCCTAAACCACACCAAAACACCGTCTATGAGCAAACGAGCGAAATCAGCAGCACCATGGAAAGCAGTCATGTGAGCAGCGTGCGGTCGACCTTCATTTTCTGCCTTCCTTTTCTGGCACGCCCAAATTAGATAACAGCTTTTCTTTGTTATGCTATGCGAACACTGTCGCCACCTCAACTACAGACTGAAAGGCGAGTGACTAACGTGGCTGATCTATTTTAAAACCAGGCCAGAGAGCCGAGGACATTAAGTAACACCAGCATACTTTTCTTCTCCTTCTTCCGTTCTTTTTCTTTCTTCTTCTCCTCCTTCTCCTCGTCTTCGTCATCTTCCGTTCCCGCCCCTAGTAGGGTGAAGATGATTCCAGTTTGGGAGTTGACTCCGACAGCAGTGACCAGCATTTTTCCAGAGCCCTCCATGACATGGGTACCTGTAGACAGGATGAGACACAGGTGAGGGCATGGCACTCGGCTGCAATAAACACAACAGCCTACACACACAAACACGCGCTGTGTGTGCACTCTGATTTCTGCGTATCTGGCACCTAAATATGGGTTGTGAGTGTTCAGCAATCAAGAGCCGTCAGATGACCGTAATGTCCTAATGACCCAAAGAAACAGCTCCTCGTACAGCACTGCTGCCGCTCTCACCTCGCGGCTCTGCAGTGTCAGAGCGAAGCTGCTGCTCTGTCTCGGGCAGTGAAAGACCAGAGAAAAGCCCAGAGCAGTCCCAGTGCTGGCTTCTGCTTACGTCCTATGGGACTCTCATGTGCGAATGGGGTCTCGGGGGAGTTGTAAAAAGAGGCAGATGTTACAACCTTGGCCCACTTGGTGGGGGGGGGAAGCACCCCCACCATAGATGGTCTGGGAGCAATGTCCATTAAGGCCTTCATTGGGGAAGCAGTTGTTTCACATGCTGTCTGCTGTCTGTCTACTTTGTCCCATGTGGCTCTTCATTGTACATTCACAATGTCAAAGTTTATTTGTTTTGTCTGACAAAATCTGCTAGATGTTATATACAGATGCAAGCAAAGCTTTGTGCAACCCTGGCCAAATTATGTTTGTGTGTCTGTTTGTTTATGCTTACATGTCCTCCCTCATGAATACATTACAAATAAATAAACAAAACAAATAAATTCCCCCAGTGAAGAGGGGTGGCTGCAGGCCCATAAATAAATAAATAAATGAATAAATAAGTAAAATTAAACAAAAAAAATTATATTAAATTAAAAGTTAACACATCCTCTACAGAGGACACACTTCTACCCATTTAAACGTACAATTACCATTTAGTTGTGAAATTTAACATACTGGGAAGAAAAAAAAAAAAAATCATAAAATGTGGTGTGGGCAAATGTTATAGCACATTTTATTTTTTATGTGTTATTTTTCCAAATACTGCTGCTGTCGGAACAAAACCCAGTATCTCCATTTTTGTCATTTTGTACTTTTTTACAAAAAAAAAATCTAAAAATAGAAATAGAAAATCTAAAAAAAAATCTAGTTCCATTAACTTTCATTAAAAATTAAGAATGTTTTTCCTTTTCCTGTAAAGTTAACATTTTGGAGATAATTAACATTAACATTGTTCCGACAAAACCTTTTAATATGTTAAACTCAACTCAATAATAAAAATAAAATAGAAACTGTAAATTAAACTTTGCAGAGTGTTCCCAGTAGAGGATGTGTTTACAACTTATTTTCACTTAGAAAACCAACAAAACATGTCATTTGACTGGGTTCATATGCAGACTTTTGCTCACGACTGTATGGGGATGCACAATAATATCAGAATCATACCAGAATCAGCAGATATTTCCTTAAAAACAATATAAGCAGTGCTGTGCTAAAGCTTTAAGCCCCTGAGAGAATAATATTTAAAAAGCAGTTTAATTAGGCAGTAAGCATTTTTTTTGCTTAGAAAAACCCCTAATATTAGAATAAACACAAGAACACAAAAGGAAGTGATTATATGCTAATCAAAACCTTATATTCACACTTCACTGCTTAATATTTTAAATTATTTAAAAGATAGCTAGGAGTGCCCAGGAGAAATTTGGATCCACCTTCCCCACTTAATTTAACTTTATGCTTAATGGTGTTTTTCCAAGGTTACATAGGAGTTTTACTTGTACATAAATACTTACTGTATATCAACGTCAGACAGATGGTTAGATCTGAGTGATATTTTAAATTGATATTTAATGTATTTATTGTACTCCAGAAAAGCAGAAGGTTTATGTGACACTGGGTTACTGTGCAAACATATCTTTTCTAAATGCAAATTAAACTGTATTCATTTTATTGCATTTTAACCTTCTACACATTCTGCGTAATGCTAATCCAGATGGATTTACTTCCAGTTTGTACACTTTATAAACGTTTCTGTATCAGCAGACATCAGCAAAGGGCCACAAGTCTCATATAAGTGCATCTCTTGTTATATAAAATTCAATTACTGGCCATACAGAACGAATTCAATGGCATTTAATATAATAGTTCAGGTAGAGACTTAAGTAACCAGTATCTACCATAATTCTTTTGATTGCCTGACGCCGCAGATGCCTTTAAACTCTGTAATGTAACTGCAGAAAAAGTGGTATAAGAAAAAATTTGAGAAGGAAACAGGGCCAAAAAGTGTCATATGGCTCTAACTGATATTTTAATTTCAAGTGCTCCTTTATTTCAGTACTTAAATGTTTCAGCACAAAATCCAAGAACCTTTAAGAACCTTAAGAATCCTATCTATTAGTGGTTCACCCAGCTTTCATAAAATGGGATTAGAGAGACACAAGCAACTGCTCTATTGAGGACAGTAGGGCCTTGTAAGCCAGAGTCCAGTTCCCCCCAGCTAAATCTTTCATAAGGGTTTGGCTGGAGATAAAGGCTGATGGATTCATGGCTGTTTAAGAAGTCATGATGACCAGGTATGGAAAGAAGTATCTGAGCAACCGGATACTCATTTGAAACGAGGTTCCCGAGGAGCGCTAATGAATAGCCGCTGTTTTAATTCCTCCAGCCCCAAAACTTTATCTGGCTTACAGTCATTAACTACTACTTGGGTTGCAGGTAAGGGAGAAGCAATATGGGTGAGATTAAGGAGGGAGAAACAGCCAAAGAGAGAAGAGCAACAGTAAACACGCCTACTGTTAAGATATTAAATTTGGTTGGCCAGATAGCAAATAATTCATTACTCTGTCACACTGAGACACACCATATGTTGACACCTGATAGAGGCTGATACCTGACAACAGCATAGGATCCTTCTCCTGTGTTTTCTTCACATGATCGGACTCGCCCGTGAGAGAGCTCTCATCAATTTTGAGATCGTTCCCTTGGATGAGAATTCCATCAGCAGGTAAGAGGTCACCTGTACAACAGAAAAGTAATTAAGAATCAGACTGGGTCATATAGAGCACAACTACAGAAACACATCACCCATTTCCAGGTTTTTATCAAGTAAGTACACAATAACATTAAAAATGAATGCACAGCTAATTAAAGGAGAGCGGGGCACAACCTATACATTTTGTTTTGTGCTAAGTAATTTGAGCAAGACTCAAGTAAGCAGGCTACACATACCTACTACAAAAGAAAACTGACTGAAAAGTGGCATGAGTGGAAATGTCACAGCTTGTCCCATAGGAGGCGATAATTATAACAGGTGTCAAAATAAATACTGCTTGTGAAAAGAGGCCGTATCATACGACGACGTTTTAGGGCCACTGCTAAAAATAATTAAAAATAGTACACTTCGAGAATGAATTCATAATATTTTGAGAGAAAAAGTCACGCTGTATGATATTTTGAGAATAAAGTCATAATGACTTTATTCTCAAAATATTATGACTTTTCTCAAAATATATTTTGTGAATAAAGTCATAATATTTTGAGAATAAAGTTATAATATTTCAAGAATAAAGCCATAATATTTTGAGAATAAAGCCATAATATTTTGATAACAATGCTGTAAAATTTCAAAATAAAAATTCATATGGTATGACATTTTGAGAATAAAGTCATAATATTTTGAGAATAAAGTCATAGAATTATGACATTAAAGTGGCATTAATACCAGGAAGTCACAATATTGTGGCCAAAGGCAGCACCTCCTCGCATTAAAATGAGGGGTGTTAAGAAGTGGGTAGAGTTATACATTCGTATAAATTTCACCAATAAAGAAACACTCAGTCTTCTGGCACATCAGCACTTGATTGTTATAGTATAAGAAACGGCTGAAACGGTCGTGCAAGAAACTGTGTTTATTTAGAAAAAGGAACCAGACTTGGAGGAAACTGTTTTGTTGAAGGAGAACTCAGGCACTGTCGTCTACACGGCTATCGCTGGCTACATTTCTGTGCCATTCAAAGAGGGCATGTAGTTTCACAGAAGGCAATGAGAATGATGATCAGAATGATCGATCCTGAAGGAGCGGAACTCCAGCCTTCGTCGTCGCCAGCAACCGAGGCTCCAACGCGTTAGGGCAGCCCCCTGCAATTAGCCCACTTCATCCTCGAAATATCGAGGGTTTACTCCTGTAACTTTACAACTTCATTATTGAAATATTATGACTTAAATCCCAAAGTCTATTATTTTTATTTTTTTTAACAGTGGCCCTAACACGCCGTCGTAGTGTCAAACGCAAGCAATTCATTAATGATATCTATAGTATGTTTTTGATTAATCTGTGAGTGAAACATTATAAAATTAACTGCTCTGAATTTATATGAGGGGGGAAATGAACATCCCTCAGTATTTAGTTTGAGTGACTTCATTGCAAGTGTGGAGGCTGTACTCAGCTTGTCGATCTCACTGTGAGTTGGTTATGTTTTTTAAAACAGTGCTGTGTCACAGACACCAAGAAGGTGATGAAAAATAAACATGAAAGTGGAAAACAATGCATTTTCTGAGTGAAACACAGTATTACGGTCTCCAATCTAGAGTGTTTTACTCAGTGACTGGTGGGGGTGGCCCATACAGTGACACATATTAGATATTATATTATTAAGAATATTACCTCACTATGACTAATATTATTATTTCCCCCACCCACTGGGGCAGCCAGAAATCAGAACTCATCTTAGAGATGATATAACGTCTGTCAGGTGTTCTGTGTGAACTCACCATATTTGATTTGTGCAATATCTCCAACTACAATCTCAGCCACGGGGATCTGAATGACTTGCCCGTCGCGGACCACTGTAAACTTCTGCTCTTGTTCAATGCGGCTCTGTAAGCCACGGAACTGCTTCTCTTTACTCCAGTCGTTAAAGGCAGTCACTAGCACCACACAGATAACGGACAGGAGGATAGCTGCTCCCTCTATCCATCCTGCCTCTGCCTCGCCTTCATCTTCCACTCCTCCTGTTCCCTTCCCGCAGTCTACACGTACACACACAGAGCACATATGGTCAGCAACACACCAACACTTATTAAGTAACTATGTAGCTCAGTATTTGATAACTGCAAAAAAGCTCTTATGAACCGAACTGTGAATCAAAGCACAGCATGACTTCTAAACTGACACTGTATTAACTTAATTTAAAACTTAATTAACTTAAGTTGAATTTAAAGTCAGCAAAAGAAGGGGACTCACTTTTACTACCCGATTCCGGAGGTCTATAAAAAGAAAGTCCTAACGAAACTATGGCTGCTACTTCTAGAATAATTAACGTTACATCTTGTAATGCTTCCCATACTAATTGAAGAAAGGTTTTTGGCTTTTTCGGAGGTATAAAGTTCTGTCCAAACTCTGATTTCCTTTTGTCGATGTCTACAGGATTTCCGCTTAAACCTGTAAAACAAAAACAGAGAGAAAAACAAAATCAACATTAGTTTTAGGAGCTTTTTAAGAAAATGTTCCAAAGCAACAACGATGCATGTTCTATCTGAGGCAGAATGTGTGAGGGAGCTATTTATTAGGAGATAATAACAGGTTCAGAGCCAAACCGGCACAAACTGCTCACGGTGGCAGTAGTATCCAACTGCAGACCCGAAGCACCGCACTTTCAGACCCTCATTTTTGGAGCCGCACTATCAGCCCCTTACAAGTATGCCTCTAGTGGCTCATTTCAGAGTTGCAGTCACACTTTCCTGCCCTTTTGAGAGAATTTTAACGTGACGTTTTTGTTTTAATAGCACCAAAGTGTGTACAGTATGTAGTAATGCTGCTTTCAAGTGCAAGTGAGGCGACAGTTTTGTACGAGGAGGAACTCGTTAATCTATCGTGTGTATTCAAGTGGCTTTTCTGACTAATAGAAAAAATACTGAAGTTGTGAAATGGGTGTTCATTAGCTTGCTGGTATGTATCAGTTTTGGCCTATTTTACTGGTGTTTTGAACCCATACAGTCTTAAAAAGGATGGATGAAGGTTCTTCAAGGGTTCTTTAGTAATGGAAATGGTTCTATTTAGGACTGAGTTCTACATAGAACCATTACATGCCCAAATAGTTCTTAGTGAAATGGCTCTTCAGATTGATATCTGAGGGTTGATTAGACATAATGCAGTAATAGCAGAGCCGGTTCTCTGGAAACAGGCATCTATATGTACGTCTCCCGAGCTCTCAATGTTACAAATGCAAACCTCTTTATCTTCACGTGACATCATATCCGGAGCGGACAGTGCGGTACTGCGGCTCCGCAGCTAGACCCTTCTCCACAATGGCTTTATGCGATACAGAGCAGGACGCTGACTGGGTCCTGGACTGCGAGTGACAAATCACATGTGGTCTAGAACCAAGTTTAATCTATTGTATGAAGCAACAGATGTTTTCTGTTTATCCTTCCAATGTGGGAAGACAACTCATCATTATGTGAAAAGGAAACAGACAAAAATAAAGAAAACTTGCAAATCAAACAAAGAAGCTGCTGGTGTTCTCAGAACAACGGACTGACCAGCCCAGAGTCCAGACCTCAACATCACTGAATGTGTTTACTTGGATCCTGAGACTCAGAAAATGCTAAACCAACTTCTAAGACTGAACTGTGGAGGTTTGGAAACAAATCCCTGCACATTTCTTTGAAAAGACTGAAAGTTGTAATACAGGTAAAGGGTGGACACAGTAAATAATGAGTAAAAAAAAAAATATTAGCTTTAGTTGTTGAGGCTTCTGTGCCTTTTTCTACTAAATATGTTTTCTGTGTTTATTTCCTGACACTGAAAGATGAATATCTTGTAATTATTGCCCATTTTGACTAGAAATGAATGAAGTCTGGTCTCTGACGGCGGGCCTGGAAACACAGTTGTGACTTTTCCGGACATCAAAATTAAATACACGATTGGCACTGCCTGCATGAAATGGTTTAGCTGAAGACTAAACATGTTTCCATAAAAAAATCAGAACATACATACACAGAGCTATTACGTAATTCAAAGAGTGCCGCTGACATTCGCCCCCACCATGCTGTAGCTTTGCCTACTCCACCAGCAAGTGGTTAGGGGCACTAAATAAACTCTTCACAGGCCACTACCAGTGGCACTGTTGCATAACAGACAACCTGTCTGGGTACAGTCACCCATCAAACATGAATATTATTTCAATATCTTCAATGAATCTACATGAAACCTATTCTAACAAACGTTAAAAGAAGCAAAGTGGCGTGATATAGCTTGAGGTGAGGAGGGGATCACTTTTTGGACATACATACCAATTCATGCTCACTTGCGGCTGATAAAAATGGGTCAAACTCTGATCAAAATGTCACGGTTTAAGGTTTTGTCACAGCTCTTTCACCTCAAGCTTCACAACAAAGCAGCACACAGTCTTTTTTGTAAAGTCTTTGTTTCCCTTTGAAATAAAACCTTCAGAGCTGATTAAATATAAAGAAAAAGTGTCACAAAGTAGCCAAAAACGTGAAGAATCAGAATGTTTTGCATGGATCTACATGCAAATAACATTTTAATGCTGAAACAGCCTAAACAGAGTCTTAGGTACCATTAAGACGGCACTAGTTCTACATGGGGACGTATTTTTGTATGTAATTTTACCACAAGACGTCTGTAATGCTTATGACTTGCATGGAATGTGATTTCTTAGGTACTTGATTTTGCACTCAAAGTAAGAAGAAAACATGTAAAACATTTAATTTAGTCGTTAATTTGTTTACTCTAACCATCTGTGTGCAATATCATTAACACAGTCTAGTTTGGAAATTTATAGTCAATGGTCAAAATCACAAAGTCATTTTTTCTGGCATTTGCGTGTTTTAGGCCCAGTCCCATTTCACCCCTCACCCCTATTACTTAGCCCTCACCCCTCAGACCCACAAATGTGAATATTTTCTCCTTTAAAAAATGACTATAACCACTGTATTATCTTAGTTTAATGTCATTTCAGTGCATTATGGTCCTTTTCTTCATAACAGTCTTTAAAAATCACTAGTAGTAGCTAGCTGGCTAAATTTCCTGTTCCACCTTAAATGGAGCAGCAGTTAAATTCTGGAGCCTAAGGCATCAGAACTGCTGCACCATTTAAGGTGGAACGGGAAGATTCAAATGAGAAGCTGGAGAATATCTGACTTCAGCTTCACATCACTGAAGAATAAGGGGTGATAATAAATAATTGTCCCCCTCTTTGAAGGCATATGATTCCCTAAATGTAACTAAAGCCCAGCAGTGAGGAGCTGAACTTTACCCTCCTCTGCTGTCACTGCAGACCGGCAGGGTCGCCTACAGAGCAGCGCTAGTAGCTGTTAATGAAGTGATGCTCTTTTTATTTGAGGGTCCCATTTCAGAGGGAAGATTTCAACCACTACCCCTTATAACTCAGTTCCAAGGGTCAAGGAGACACTCGAAAACAAGGGGAAGGGGTAAAAATAAGAAATGGGACTGGAACATCATGTTTGTAGGTATACACTTGATGTAGACTTAAGGAAGTGTTTAGCTGCTTCATTAGGCACAAATCAAGCTGGTATGTACCGTCCTACACTCTTAAAAATAATGGTTCTTCAAGGGCTCTTTACTAAAGAACCTGGTTCTATATAAACCCAAGAACACTCAAAGAACCCTATGTATAATTAAAGCGTTCACTGCATTATTACATCGTTCAGATTGATATAGAACGTGTCGCATATTATTCTATACAGAATATGGCTCTATATAGTATCGAAAAGTGTTCTTCTATTGTACCAATGTCAAGCTTGAAATGATAGAAGAACCATTTTTGGTGCTACATAGAACCCTTTTCAGAAAGGTTCTATGAAGAACCATACACAAAACATTCTCCATCAATCTGAGGAACTGTTTCACCATGCAAAGAACCATTTAATCACGCCAAGTGTTCTTTGAGTGTTCATGGTACTATGTAGAACCATTTTCTTTACTTAAGAACCCTTAAAGTACCATCTTTAAGTATGTGCATCGAGTAACATACGAAAAATGATGAAAACTCCTTTTCAACAGTAAATGTTATACAGCATTTACACTGATATGTCAGTTCACACAGGATTAATAGAACTTGGTATTATTTCTACAGTCTGTATTACAGTAGTAAAGTAAAAGGCGCTGGACGAGTCCATGAATCCGTAAAGTCCGTAAAAACTGACACGGCAGATTCGGAAGGGACTAAAATCACCCCAGTAGTACTTTAAACATTGTATGCGAGTCAGCCGCACATTCTCGCTGCATAATCTGATGCACAGGAAAAGCTGCTCAGTCATTCATTTACATAACTCTGTCTGTTCAAATGAAGTTGTATTCAAAATAGTTCACTAGGTGGGGATTTTTAGAGCTTTTATTCAGAGCTGGAGGAAAAAAATTCACACTTTCCGCCAGCTCTGAGACAAAGACGGCTGACTGTTGCTGGGAATTCTGTATTCTGACCTTGCTGAGCTGCCGAGGGACGCGTGCAGGTGTATGTATGCGTGTGTGGTCGGCCCCTGCATGGCAAACAGGTGACCAGCCTGGTCAGCACAGCCTATTGTCATGACAATGCTCCTCATTACTCAGCAATCCACAGCCAGAGTTCAGCTATGCCTCATCTCCCTCTCTCTCTGTCTCTCTACTTCCCATTATATCCTCTCACTCACTCTGCAGCTTTCTCTATAGATTTACATATACTTTCATTCTAGCCCACACTTCTGAGTCATTCTGACTCATATTTGGAGTCGCAACCAGACAAAACTTGATCTAAAGTTCCTGTTGACAAATTTGGACGCAAATGACCAAATCATTGTGAATTCAAACAAGAAACCCAATCTGCAGCACACAATCAAATTCAATTCTAAGAATTAAATGTAAAATGTGGGGCTGGAACAAATATTTCGCTGCTGTCGGATCAAAACCTATCTTTATTTTTGTCGTTTTTTCAGGTTTTGACATAACTTGAAAATACCCATTGTCCTTCACATTGTGTGTAAGTTTCACGATGACTGGACCAAAAGAAAAGACCCAAAATTACTTGGAAAAATGTCTGGTTTCCATTGACTCACATTAAAGGTAGAGTATGTTTTTGCCCTCTCCTGTAAAGTCACCATTTTGGAGATACTAGGTTTTGTTCCGACAACAGCGATTCAATATAACTACATTAATGAAACATTGTTTTCAATGTGACGTCCAGTTTAGAGTTAACAACTCAAGATGAAGAGGGCAGCAGTTTCCTTGACGAGTCGTACTTCTGTGAGCAGACAGTGAAGAAAAAGAACTGAAAGTTAAAAAAGAAGAAAAAAGCCTGGGAGGATTTAAAAAGGACTTAAGATGAAGGATAAAGTAAAGTAGTCAGATACAACATATGCAAGTCTGACTTAGCTTTCCACATAAGCACAAAGGTACCTTCCACCACTGTTCAAAGAAAGCAT